CCAATATATAAAGAAAGATAACTATAAAATACAATTTATTATGGGCACCGAAGTTTGTTTCTAGATAGGTTATGGCTTTACCAACCTGATATATTGGCAGAAACAATGAAAACCTGACACTCAGAAAGAAACATAATAATGCTGAATGTAATATATTAGATGGTTAACTTACAGTTTGACAGCTCATTAATAATCTTACACATACTGAATACGAATAATCTTGACAATTACCAATATTTTCAATAGTATAAAATTAAGCAAGAAAGCAGCTTTAGTTTAGCACCGATTTTAAATACAACTCTCTTAATTTCAAAGGGATCTTGCACACACAGGTCCTCTGCGTTAGAAGGCTCACCAGCGACCCAGCGGTAAAGTCGGTGAACACTGGTAGTTTGGTCAGAGGTTCGAATCCCGCGAATGGGCTGGCTGCATGGGCATTTTCGTGGTTTTCCCCATGTGTAAAGTGTATATGAGCCAGTTTCCCTTAGAAAGTCCTTCACGAATGCATCACTCAACTTAGGCAGATAGCCCTATGTGCTTTGCCATAATTAAATAAATCTAAACCAAACCTGTTACAGATGTATTTTTATGTTACTAAAATAGTAAAACTTAACTAAAAACTAAACTGGATGGCACAAACAGCCCTTAGAAGGCCATGGCCGGCAGTGCCTTGATATCAGCTTTCTAGATGGTGAGCTCTGCGGTGTTTGTGCATAAGTGGTCAGCTTGTTGCAGGCACCCCCCCCGATATTTAGTCCCTAATGGAACTTGGTACTAATTTTATCGACCCACTCAAGGGATGAAAGGCTGAGTCAACCTTGTCCAGGCTGGGAATCGAACGCCAGATCCTGTGGTGCTGCTGCGTGACACAATAGCCACTGTGCTACCGGGCATCCCTAAAATAGTAAATTTATGAAAATTAAAAGAAAAATGCAAAATATTAGTTTGGCAAAGGCTAGGTCTAATAGAATTTAATAAGTTGGAAATACTGTCTGTCTTTCCATGAGTTAAAAAATAATTTCAAATAAAAATTCTTTTTTCAGTTTTTCATGTTATTGTAATCTGATTTATCATATTTAGTGACATATTCCATCCCTCTTTGCACTATAGTATATATTTCAAAGGATTTATCAGTTTCTGCAATATTCTTTTTACCATAAGTCTGTTTTTAAATCATATCCTGAAAAAATTAAGGAGTAAAGTACACAAAGAAGGAAAATATGCAAGTAAATAATGACATTTAGTGTTTATGTATTTAATCTTTGTAATAGATTGTAAAAGTTATAAAATTCTATTAGCTTTTTTAAATTTCTTTTTAAATTGAGATGCTTCTTTGCACCCAAATGTTAAATGGTTAAAGCCTTAGTAGAACTTTGGTACTTTGATCTAACTTCTATTCCTAATAAATAATCCAGCTGCATACAGTTTACTCAATTTCTGCCATGTGTAAGGTAAACAAGTATTAGCTTTTTTTAAATATATCTTTTACAACTATTCCATCAGGTAGATTTCTTTCATATTTTGCCTTAATTGAGTCATTTAAAATTAATATTAAGCTAAAATTTTAATTGTTATTAGCTTATTAAAATGTTAATTTTACTGGCTCTGTTTTACTTAAATTTTTGTGTATATAATTCATTTTATAAATGTGCAAGCAAATGCATACATTAACAGTTACGTAGAATTATGTTTTGGGTATCAAATTCAGAAATTTTTGGGCTGTTTTTAGAAGATTTATTAATGATTTATACCATATTAATATTGGTAAAAAAATTCTGTGGCTTTTATATGAGAGTATATATTTTAAAATAGCTGCATGATATGGTAGAGGTAAAAAGCTTCATGTGGATCATAAATTAATATTATGTGGGAATTTTTCATTTATTTAATAAAGAAAATATTCAAGCCACAATTAAAATTTTTTCACTGGATTATTTGCATACAAAGTTTGCAGCAAATATTTCCTGCAACAGAAGTGACAATTTTTATTTTGCCAAGACAGGAAATTTAGTTAGTGAAAGCAGTAACCCTATTTTGAGATGTTAAACAGGAAGGCAAATTTTTGAATTTAAATTGATTTTTGAAGGAAGACTTCATTTAGTCTTGCTATCATTCTACGTGGCTTTTAACTTTTTTATGGTATTTATAATTTTATTGTTATTCAGCTTTTTTGCTTTCTGTTTGCTTAGAATGCACATGAATGTAGACTTAAAATATTTTATATTGCAATCTGAGATGCGATTGTTATCATAATTAAAGATGTGCGTTCTGATTCTGGAGGAATTTACTGATAATACTTTTGTTTGTGTATTGGTTTCTGGTTTATTGAAATGTGTTAATGACATGTATATGTCTAAGAAGTATTCTGTTATATATATATAGTGTTGTGATTGGTTTTCTGCTTACTTTTTATTTAAGAACGTTATCAGCAAGAAAGCGAATATTCTTTACTATATGTAGGAGTAAAATTGCAAAGGCTAATGCAATATAATTAATACAAAATTAAGGTTTTTTTCTCATGTACATAAATATGAACATAGCCATTAAAGACCTTGCAATTCTAAACAAATGTTTAGGTATTTTTTACTTAAAATTATAGGCATTGTGTAAGGTATATAACTGAAGTTTACTGTGTGATAGTATGAAGTTAAATTTTTAAATATGAAATACTCAATGCATTTTATATGCATCTTTTAATACTTCAACTACATTTAAAAACCGAAAACATCTGAAGTGTGAAATGATTACATTTCTTTCTTTTTCTTGTTTAGGAGCTGTTCTCAGAAGTTAGGCGAGAAAGAATTCACTTTTACAAAAATTGAGCAGGATATTAAAGACAGCGAAATATAGAACAACAAATATGGCGAAGCCGAATGAAATCTATGTTGAATTTTATTATTGAACAAAATATGCCATTCAGATTTAATGTTAGTTTTTATTGTTTAATAGTAATTGCAGTTTCCGAATACCTGTAAAATAAACCTAATTCTTAAATTAATTTCATGTGTACTTCTTTTGCAAGTATTGCACTTCATAATACTTCAAACAACTTGAAATTTGATACTTGCTAGTTTATGTGGGATATGTTCATAATAATTTTATAATTTAAATAACTCATTGTCATCATATGAGCATAATCTAAATGCACAGCATTTGACAAATTAATAAAAAATTAGCCAACTTCTAATTGCTTTCTTTTGTTCCAGTTGCCTCCTTTTAAATCATTTAATACCATAAAGCTATTTGATGAAAAAAAAATAATTGGTATGTCCACATCAACATGTACATTTATAATGATGTTATAGAAAAAGTCACATGAGATAAATATTTAAAAAACTTCAATATTCCTAAACAAATTAACTTTTTAAAATTTTATCTGGTATATATAAGATAAAATAAAGAACATATTTAGGTAATTTTGAATTTGCATAATTTTATGAACTTATTTATGAAATTAAACAGTTACATTGTAAAAGGGAACTTTTTAAAAATACCTCAATAAAGCATTTCTTTTGTAGAGGTGAACTTTTAGTACTGATCTAATATATTTATAAGATTTTAAAACTGAGAGAAAGACAATAACAATAATAGATTACAATATATTGCAAGATTGACTGATAAATGTGAAATTTTTACATATCATAATTATATGTGTAACTAAAACATATTTTTAAAACAGAAGTTACTCGATTAACTTACATGCAAATTAATAATATTTTCTTTAACATGTTTTTGAGAGAGTTAATTTTAACAAATTAATATATACATATATATATTTGTGTATTATTTGTACACAAATTGTATGTGTTGTTTTTATATGCCATGTAAGTGAACGGTAGCATTAATTGATTTAAAACATAAAATTCATGTTTACAAAATTTATTGCATATTTTGTAGTCACTTTGAAATGAAATATTAAAAGTGATTTTCAGCCATTAAGTGTTATGTAATTTTTGAATAGATTTTTTTTTTTTTTCATTTACTAGTGCATTTAAATTTTCCAGTTATATATGTTCCATATTGCTGTATTGTAAAAGGTGGATATGTAAAAATTTGATATAAAAATGACATTTTAACTTTTAATCATAACATGCAGAAAAGTTTTGCATAGAATTATATAAAAAAATACGAGATTAAAATAAGTGCATTTTACAAAAAATGGTAATTGGAGATTTATGCAAATTTTTTATCAAAAATGTGCATTTATACACAGTGAAGAGGAGAAGATATCAGACTAAATTTTAAGTCATTCGCACATGCAAAGAAAACATAGGAAAGATTTAGGTCAATTACTATCAAATATATACGTTTTTGTACCGTAAAATACAGGGAATATCTATGTCAATTTCTATCTAATATATATGTTTATATACAGTAAAAAATCGGGGAGATTAACGTAAATTTTTACTAAATACATATGCATACGTGCAGCAAAAAATTGGCGAGATTTATGTATATGTGATAAATATATGTAATTTTTTACTAAAAATATACATAAATCCCTAAAATTTACGTATATTATATGTAAAAGTTATGAATGAACAGCAGTCTCTCGCGTAAATGTACCTAAATTTTACGTAAAAATCTAGCATTTGTTACTGGACACTTTTTACGATATTTTTACATTCAACTTGAACATTTTTTATACAAACGGGCATTCGTAAATTGCACGTATTTTTCTCATGCAATTTACGAATGCATGCTGCCTGGGAAAGTACTTTCAAAGTTATAGAAACTTGAGCAATCTGTTCCATCCAAACTATTGCTGGAATGACTGGTGCAAGTATAAGCTAATATTTGTATCAGTATTCTTCAAGCTGAATTTGTAACTTATAAACAAAAAGTGATCAGTTCCTTAAAAGTTTAACCAGATTAATCGGTGAAAGTTTGGCAGGATTTTTGCAAATTTTCATTACTACTGGGAAAGTGCATAAGTACCATATTGTTAATCAATAAATAATGAAACAGTTTTCCTCCATCTTGTATAAACTATATCTTACTTTGCAGAAAAAATGTAGATTTTCTTCCACTGTTAATTCTTCAATCAAAACATCATAATCAGGACAAAAACCAAGAAATCGTGGTATTCTTCTTGCTTCACTTGCAATATTGATATCAAATCTTTTTATTAAAGCAGTTCCTGAAGTAGGCGGATATTTTCCTGCAATTTAAAAGAAAGTTAGAAAAAAATCTGAATTTTAAAAAATACTAAGCATATTACATAACCATTCAAATATCACTATCATATTTCTATCGCTTTCTATCTACTATTCTATAAGGTTGGCAACTAAGTTACCGCCGTTTTTAATAATGTTTGTTAAAAGTTTATTTTTCAATAAACATATACAAGTAGTTAATCAAGAATGTATTCTTCTTTATTGTCTACAACATTTTTTCAATGTTTAACAAGTTTTTCAATACCTTGTTGGTAGAAATCACCTGCTTGAGACTTGAAAAAGTCATCCAACCAAGCTCTCATTTCTGCATCAGTATTGAAAGAAACTCACCATATAGCATTTGAAAGAGATTGAAAGAGGTGAAAATCCATTGGTGCCGAATCGGGAGAGTATGGTGGGTGTGTCAGCATTTCCCAACCATGAGTTTGAATGCCTTCCTTGGTCATATTGGCGATATTAGGGTGGGCATTGTCGTGCAGCAAAAGAACGCCATGCTGCCGATTAGGTCTTTTCTCTTGAATGGTCATGTTGAGTCATTCCATTTGTTGCACATAGAGTGCCGCATTGATTGTTTGGTTCCTTTCAAGCAATTCAAAATGGAGAATCCCTTCCCAGTCCCACCATACACACAACACCGTTTTACGCGGATGAACGTCCTGTTTCACGCTTGGGGTCGCTTGTTTACCGGGGCTAAGCCATTCCTTACACTGCTTCAAATTCATGTAGAGGCACCATTTTTCATATTCAGTAACGATTTAGTGAAGGAATCGTTCCTTGTGTCCATGGGTTGCATGGTGACGAGCAAGCAAATTAGCGGAGATTGCGGCTCGTTGATTTTTGTTGGTGACACTTAAAGTGTGAAGCACCCATGCTACACATTTTCCCATGCTGCATTTTCAACTTTGCTCATTGAGTGAAGATGTTTCTCTACAGTAGTGTGGGAGTAATCCATAGTCTCCGCCACTTCCCTTGTTGTTTGGCATGGATTTCATGCAAAAGGTGGTTCAATCACTCTTCATCGAACTCAACTGGACGACCAGAACAAGGTGGGTCTCTAAGTTTAAAATTTCCTTTTTTGAACTTTGCAGACCAATCACAGGCAGTTTTTTCAGCTACAGCACTCACTCCATACACAGCGCAAATGTTGCAAGCAACTTCTGCGGCCTTATAACCTTTATTAAAGTAAAAAAGAAGGAGGTGTCGAAAGTGCTCATTCTTCTCAACATGACATTCCATGTTAATGATCTATAAAAAAATATTTAATGTCATAGATATTTTCCAATTTAAAAAATAGCAGGAACTTAGTTGCCAAACCAATATAATGTAATAATAATTTAAAAAAATAATGGATGTTTCAATTCAGTTTTAAGGTCAGTCTTTATTTCATAATTATCAACTTGCTTTGAAAAACATTTGGTACTCTCATTCGTTTCCATTTTCATGTATATGAACCGAAGAATACTGTAAGAACTTTACAACAATTAGAAGAAGACGTTATGTTTATTGCCTAGGTTATAGAAATAAATCTTCTCTATTTAAACATCCTTCCATTTAGAAAGGCATAGTATTAGATTATTTAAATTACAGCAAAGCAAGGACTATCTGCCTAGGGTATATGCTTTATAGAAGACATTTTATGGGAAACTGGCTTGTATTCACATTATACACGAGGAATATAAAAATTCAACATGCAGACAGTGTATTGGCAGGGATTTGAATCATGGTCAAACTTCTAGTTTTCATTCATTTTAAGGCTCAGCTACTGGTGGGTTCACTTAGAAAAGTTTTCATATGAGTATATACCTTATATAAAAAAATTTCTAACTAAAGGAGTAGTTTATTAATGAGTACAGATATTTACTTGAACATCTAATTATGGAAAAATACTCAACAGTGATGTATTTGAATATCTATAATGGCAAAATACTCAACAGTGATGACAGCAATGTTGTCAAAATATGCCATGCTGAAAATCAAAAGAATGTATTAATGCTGTTTACAAAATTCATAATTAACTGAAGTTTTATTTTTAAAATATTGCCCATGCATATGGATGAACAGATACATGATACAGTATTATAAAAATTATCAAACTGATTAAAAGATATATTTCTCTTAAAATTCTAATCTGAAAAATTATCAAACTGATTAAAAAATGTATTTTTCTTAAAATTCCAATCTGAAAAATTTTAATGCTCAATTTTAAACACAGAACAATAAAAATATTTTACCCAATAAGAGAGATATTAGTCTGGTTTTTCCTGCTCCATTGTGTCCAAGCAATACAGTTATATGGCCTCGATAGGCTTTGAGATTTATTTGATTTATTACTTGTCTTTCATCATAAACCTATCATGAGACATTAAACATGCAACTACATCTTACTCTGCAGAAAGTATAGATATAAGTTATAAAATGTGCAAGGATAAATAGTTTTACAGGTAAAAACAGAATTGTTCTTAAAATATTTTGTATTCCTATTATCACCGAAGAAAAAAATTATTTCTTGGAATTGTAAAATATTTTTTGCCATTTCTTAAAGGGTTTCTTCTAATCAATAACGCAATAATAATTTTTTTTGTAAAAACTAAACTCATTCGCGCAACAGCCCTAGTCGGCCACGGCCTACAGTGCCCTTTTTCTGTTTTCTTGACCTTGGTAACCGGAGTGCATCAGCATATGCCTTGGACAAGTGGTCAACTTGTCGCAGGACCCCCAGTGTTTAGTCCCCGGGCAAACTTGGTACTAATTTTATCGAACCACTCAAGGGATGAAAGGCTGAGTCGACCCTGCCCATCCCGGGGATTGAACCACAAACCTATGGTGCATGACGCACTAACCACTTCACCACCAGGCGGTTGATTTTTTGTAGTGCAATCTATTTTAAAATTAAATTATATACTTGCATCAAAACATAACTAATTTCTCACTCCTTTTTCCTTATCCTTGAAATTGCTTTAAAATTATCATGCTAAAAATCCTCTTTGATGATATCTTTACCTAGGTTAGGTTATTGAAACATGGCAAAGCACATGAGAGGTATATATGTCTAAGGAATGGGATGCCTTCATGGAGATAAAAATAAGGGAAACTGGCTTGTATTCAAGTTGTGCATTGGGAAAACCATTACAATTATCTGCGCAGCAAGCCTGTTCTCCTGGGTCCGAATATGTGAAGAGACTGTTTTTTTTTTTTTATATATATCTTCTTTGGAATATGTTCTATCTGGAAGAGAAAAATTTTATTTGGTATACAGCTTTTGTTTGGAATACGACTCGAATTCGATGAGTCACGACTGCATACACTAAATTTGTTAACCTCTTTTGAGACAATGCTATGACTGCCCATGAGTGTCAGTTTGCCAGTTGCTACTGCTCAGTATATAACCCATGCTATACTCTGAATTTTCAAGTGATTTTGTGAGTTTCTTTCTCTCCCTATAAATGTTTTGAAAATTCATTAATAATGAGTTTCAGAAAAATTAATGAGATTCAATGAACAAAGAAAATTGTTAGGATGCCCATGGAAGGTAAAAAGAGATCACAAACAAGTATAAAGATAGCATGTATATCTGGGACTTGGCTAATGTGCACAGTATGGCAAGTATGATGGTGATAACTGTAAAAAACATATGGTATTAAATCGGCTAATGTTACACATGTGGTAAAACTGATAAACAAAGATCTGACATGTTAGTTAAGATTTGAAAAATTGTTTCCAACCTGGATAACAGAAAAACATCTATGTACATTATCCTATGCAGTGCTTCATTTATGTACAGTATGTATTTCACTCACTGCATTTGTATTTTAGTACTAAACAGTGTTATAATAACAACAATAGATTTTTTTTAAATATAGAATGGATTATTTCTATTTCTTATTGGAAAAGTTCATATGGTATAACATCCAAAGATTTGGAATGGATTACTGATGTATTGAGGTACTACTGTGTTAGTAGTCCGCAGTTTTTAACTGCTTGGTCACAATATTGGGTTTTAATGAAAGTTTCCTGCTACGGCAAATATCGCCTGCACAAACAGTTCACGCTGGTGTGTTTAATTATCATATCACCATCAACAGATTTCCTTTAGAACACTGTGTTGTGAAATTTGTAAAAAATATCATTATCATTAAGTAGGAGGTGTCTGAAATGGAATTATAATGCTACCAGATTAGAACCATCATTTACTTCTAGTTCTGTTGCAAAAAATCAGCTACAGAATGTCACCAAATCATGTGTATAGCTTTAGGTTACTAATGTATGATATAACACTGTGAAAGTTTAGTATCTAAAAGTTCAAAAACAAGGACTATGACATTCAAGAAGCATAGCGCTCTGGCCACCCTACTTATATTGAAGAGAATTGCTTTCTTGTGGAAGAAGTTGAGTGTGCAACCATTCGAAAACTTTCTAAGACATTACACATTAGTGCCGTGTCCATTAATCACACTATGCATAGCATAAACTTGACGTACAAGTACAGAGACGATAGGACCCACACTAATCTGCTCAAATATCAACGCAAGGACAAAACTCTGGTCCAGATCGTCACTTGTGAAGAAAAGTGGTTTTACTTCAACAACACAGGCAAAAAAGGAGGTTGGTCTGTTCCCGGTGAGCCAAGTAGCAGCATTGCAGAGTGCAATTTGACTAACAAAAAGATCATGGTTTATATCTGGTGGGATTGCCATGGTATTATACACAAAAAGTATCTGGAAAAAGGTAAAATCCTTGACAGTAAAGTGTATAGAGAGATGCTACTCTGTGTTGATGCTGCTATCAAGGAAAAAAAATGTCAAACTAAGTTCTCGCACAAAAAATGTAATGTTCCATCAAGATAATGCAAGACCACACGTGTCTGCATTCATCAGCTGGTTTCTGCATGGCTTGGAGTGGGATCTTTTGCCACATTCAGCATTTAGTCCCGACATCGCTCCTTCATTCTTTTTTTTTTTTTTTTTCACACCTGCAGCCACATCTTGCTTGTGCTATTTCCCATTCTGCACGGGATGTCCAAAATGAGGCTGATCTGTTTTTTGGCCACCAAGTTTCTGGGCTGAAAGCTTTGAAAGACTACCAAAATGATGGCAGAAAATCATATATTTGGGTGGTGATTACTAACCACACTAAAGGTATTGCTTTTATGTTTCTTTCAAAGTTTTTTTTGTGGAAATCTTTCATTACGACCAGATATTTTTATCTAAACTTTATTATCGTTTCTTAATCAGTGGTGGGATACATCTTATTCACATTGTTTTGCCAAAACTAGCTTACAAAATTTTTTAGCTTGGCAATTTTTTTTCTAACTTTACAAACTAGTTGTTAAATTACTTGAAATTCGCTACTGGCATTAGCTTAAAGAGTAAAAAATTTATTTGCTTAAATCTGCTGATCTCGAACTGCATTTAGCATTTAAAAGGCATTTCTCTATTTCACTTGACATTATATTAGTTTTAACAAAGCTTTCACTGGCAATGCTGAGTCTTACATCAGTATTTGCTCATCCCCCAAAGAAAATACTATTAAAAAAAATCTGAAAGGTTTCAGATTTTAAATTTCGTCCAAAGGAGCATTTTTTTTTAACATTTTGTGTGTTACTTTTATTTATTAAATAATATTATATTATTTATCAAATTATTTTATAATTTAATATAATATTTACATTTTTAAATATATAATATTTAGATTCGCACTTAAACCAAAAAATTCAGTTCAAGAGCAATATCGGAAAATAGTTTTAAATTGAGCATATCTTTAGGATTTCCGATACAGAGTCTCGCACGCTGGAGATAAAAATGATTTTCTGTATACAATGCTGCCATTGCTCGCTTTGAAATCCTTGAGTTTGTTATTCAAAAATTCGTATTACAAAATGTGAAATCGATAATAAAACAAATTCTAAATTTCCACATGCCCATATTCGCAGTAGGTTTACGTCATTCAAAATTTGATGGCTCTAGGCACCATTGTTTTATCCCAGTGGGAGAAACATACATACATTTATGCATTCTTCATTATTTAATTTCTTCAAATATAATACAGGATGAAAATATTTGTTGGCAACAGTCTGAAAAGTGAAACGGACATTCAGAGTGATTCGACAATACAAAATCGCAAAACAAAAACAATAGTCTCTCAGGGACAAAGCCCCTTAGGACTGAAGATAATTTGAAGATTAAAAGAAATCCAAAAATAAAAATTAATTTTAAATTCAGAATTGGTAGAGAATATGCTTGAAGTAGTGAAAAGGCCAGCTGTATCTCATATATACAATAAAATGCATATAATATTTTATGGGAAATAATAAAGATTTAACTGTAAATTATATGAAAATTACAGAATCAAGGGTAGATGTATGTTTTAAAAAAATTATAATATGAGCTTACAGAACATGAGCTAAAGAGTTCCTTTTATGCTTCCTTAGTTTTGAGAAACTTTTGATAATGACAGTGAAGTTTCTAACACAAACATTACACAAGCAGAAAAATAAACAGGATGATTATTAATCATTGCTAGTGCTTAAAAATGATTTAAATCATAAAAACATACTATAAAAATCACAAATGTTTATCTAAGGAAGAAACTAGTTATTCTAAAATACAGTATAATGAATATCAACAAAATAAATAAACATGCATCTTAATCTTGATTAATCTGCCAAAAATTTGTACAGCTCATTAAAACACAACAAAAACAGTGTAAATACACTTATTGCTTTGCTAAACTGCTAAAATTATTGTATGACAGGGCTAAATGAAAAGAAATTTTTGTTTAATTAATAAAATAAATACAAATATGGTCTTGTTAAGGCAGCTGCTACACCAGTTATGAAAACTGGTAAATTCAGTTGCCAAATCTCTAATGTGCAAAAATGTCATCTAAAGTTTATGCAGTAGCTGCTTTAATAAGGAAGTGCTGAAATATATTTAAAATTATGGTGTTTAATGCAACTGTAATAAACTAATCTAATTCTGTGGGCTTACATAATTCTTAGGTATTCAAAAATATATTTATTTAATTACTTACTTTAGTTAGATTTTTTATTAGTATACCAGGAAAAGGTTGTCTCCTATTACTTTGAAAAAATTCCCGATTTGTTTCTATTTCAGAAGGCAGTTCTACAGAATATAAAGCATCTTTTGGCTTATTTCCTACCCAGTAATTAACCTATAATTAAATGCATTACAAAGCCATTTTTAAAGAAATTAGCCATGATCTGAAAAAAATTATAGTGCTATATTTAATCAGTAACACAAGATTCATAACATCGTAAGTTTATAAGCATACATAAAATATTATCAAAATAGAGGAGAGGCACTATTATTTCTGTGTATGACATCAGTATGCCAAGAATAATTTTGAGCACAATACTGTCCTCAAATTAATACAATAGTAAGATACTCATATGATCAAGCACATGGCTTTTAGAACTCTACTTACTGTTTACATTTCTTTACTAATTGTTATAACTAGAAGAGCAATATATTAAGTAATTCATTAATTTTCCTTCGAATATAAATTAAGAAATTAAACACAGCCCACACTATAAGTCCACACTTTTAAACTTATACACTATTAAGTTTTAAATACTTAAAAATGAAGAGATACTTATAAAATAATTTATGACTGCACATTAAAAAATTCATAGCAGCACATTTATATTACAATAACACTTAAGTATAAAAAATAAACAAAGAAAATAATCATCACAATAAATAAGTAATCATCAATAAAATTATCATACAATCAAAAAAAGGTAATAAAAAGCTAGCTTTTAAATTCACTGGATAGTCTTGATAGCTTTCAGATAGGAAAATTCTGTTTAGGATATATAACATTGTAAAATATATTTAAAACCTATTAGGTCTTAAATGATATACATTGTTCAATGAAGAGAAAATGTTTAACTTCAAATTAATAATCACATTTTGAGTCTGCTTACATTCTAATCTAAAGAATTATTTCTTTTGCCATCTATACAATATAAAGAATGGAGACAAATTGTGAATATTGTATGCAGAATTTATATAAATATAAAAAATTGAAAATACAAAAAGGTAGCTAAATTTTAGAATCGAATTTATTTTTCAGAATTTCCGAAATTTTTCAAAAAAGCTATTTTAGAAAAAAAAAAAAAAAAAAAATGTATAATACATAACTGTATTCTACATATATTGGAGGAAAAAATCAAAAGAACAACTATAAAAAGGTGCTTCATGTTAATTCTAATGCAAGGAGTTCGTTGGTTTCTGAAGCTCAATCTTATTTACAGATCAGTGGGATTTCACCTTTGCTACACAGATCTATGCAACTTTTCGTGCCCATTTTTTTTCAACAAGTGCAGAAAGAGTGCAAGAAGATGATTCAAATTCTAATTTTGAAAACTGTATGAGCAAGAGAATAAAATTTATGCACATGGAAGGTGGAACATGTTGCTGAGAATGCATCTGGTGAATTGTTAGAAATGGCATGCAGTTGGGAGAAAGGAAGTAGGACAAATACTGACATGAGTTTATAAAGAACTAAAAGTAATCAAAAGCATCATTTCAAAAAATTAGAAATGATTTAAAGACAATGGCGATGAAAACATTCAGTCAAGTCCAGATTGAAAATACACCTCAAAAACTAAAACTCTTGCTTTAATCATTGGCAATGATTAAAAGAAAAGAAACAAAGATCTGACATCAGTCCATATTGCAATGGAACTCATCTATTTAGATATACTGCAAGTGGCAAGCATTAAGAGAGAGCTGTATTAGGGCTCATAAACATTTCTGCTAAGAAAATTAAGTACTAAGCACCATAAATAAAAAAAAAATAAGGACCTGCCAGCCAATGGGAACTGAATACAAAGTCTGAGTTCACTTTTGTAGTACCAACAATAAAACAGATCTGTAAGTAACATGCATTATTATTAAACATAATCAAGTAGTTATTATAAAACTAATTCAATAATGAAATCAAGTTCATAAAACATACCAGGTGATTAGGATTAAGTTACAAAACTTTCTGAAATATATATAATAATCCCACATATTTTGAAAATGATTAGTTATATTTTACTTATATTTTACTAACAGTTAAGCTGCATTCACACCAATGCAGTCACGTGTTCGTGTGTAAAGCGTTAACCAATCAGAAGCCAGTTCAGAGGTGGTATTTGCCGGATGGCCGGAGACCGCATGAGTTGACTCAACTTCAACTTTTTGATGCGTCAGCTTCAGGTAACTTGTTTCAAATGTCCAGTTTATACTATGATTTTTAAATGATTGCACTTTCAAAAATTCTTCTTGGTGGAAAAAGAAAAGTCAAATGGACTATTCTTAATAAAAATTTCAGATTAAATAAAAAAAATGCATACACTAATAGAATAAATAGCTTTATAAATTATTTAAAGAAAAATTCTAAAGTTTATTAGTAGTAATAAACCTTAATAATCAACCATAAATGATATATGGTTGATAATTTTAACAGAATAATCTAAAGCAATAGATTGTTGTGAGAAAATAATGATGGATTTTAAAATTCCAGATTCTGAATTTTTCTTAAAATATATCTACATCAGTTTAAGGTTAGTCTTGTTGCCTAGTAGATAAAACCAGGGCTGTGGAGTCGGAATCAGGTAGATTTTTGGGTAAAAGGAGTTGGAGTCGCTAAAAAACATGTCGACTATGAATCCAGTTTTTTTTTGGACAGTTTGAATTTGAAATGAAATTAAAGTGAATTGAAATAATAATAATAATAATAATAATAATAATAATGACAAACTGAGTTAATAATTTTATTTATGGACTATATGCATTAATAAATAGTTATTTTCTATTTTATTGATATATTAGTAAACAAATATAAGGGAGCAGGATGGATGTGATATTTGCCATTATTAATTAAACTGATTCATTTAGTTACTAATCTCATTGGTGAATTGAGATAAGCAGCAAGAACTCCCAAAATTGATGCCATTCTTAGGAAGCGAGCAAGAAAAAGAGCAACGTAATAAAGAAGTACATATTTGATGATATAGTGGCAGTTAGGATTAAGAACTTTTTCAGAAGATGTAAATAATGGTTTTGTAACGGAATTGGTATTTAAAAAAAATATATTTACAGAAAATATTATGGCTAGTTTAACAGTAGCCTAGATGCTTCTTCAGTTTCCTGAAGGTGAAGTGTAAAATCGATGTTTACCAGCAAGGTACCTTAGTGCGGAGGTAACATGCTCAAGTGAAAAATTCAGCTCTTACTAGGGGCTTGTATTGTGGGTTCGGGCCTTGCCTTTTTCTTTCTTTGATAATGGTACAAATATACTTTTTTTAAAAAAATCTACTGCGATTTTTTTTGGGGGGGGGACACAAGAAACTTGCACTCATTTTTCATTTCATTCATCATTCATGCAAACCTAATTTTCGCTCGGCATTGTGTGCATTATCCTTCTTTTGACAACGAGCCTTTGGTATAATTCATAAGATCTGACTACCATGATCTGATTCTATTTTGGCTGACACGAGACTAGCAAAACCAATACTGGTATATTAGTACAAAGTTGCTGTTTCATCTAATTAAAAAATTTAGTGAGTTCTGAATTTTAAACAAGTGGTGACGAGTAAACCATTTGTTTAAAAAAAATAAGAAAAGTGTTATTTATACAGAAAAGAAGCTCGTTAGTATGTATCTGATTTCATCGAATACTTCTATGCATTATTTTAATGGCTTCATGTTTGTTTTTCTTAACTTGCATGACCAATTCTCGACAGGTTTAATCTTGATGATAATTTTTCACAAAGTTGCTGTTTCATCTAATTAAAAAATTTAGTGAGTTCTGAATTTTAAACAAGTGGTGACGAGTAAACCATTTGTTTAAAAAAAATAAGAAAAGTGTTATTTATACAGAAAAGAAGCTCGTTAGTATGTATCTGATTTCATCGAATACTTCTACGCATTTTAATGGCTTCATGTTTGTTTTTCTTAACTTGCATGACCACTTCTCGACAGGTTTAATCTTGAAGATAATTTTTCATAGATTTAAAAAACTTTTGCATGAGCATTAGCAAATTTGCTAATTGTGGAATTCAGTTTTTAACGCAGAAAAAAAGTATTATATAAAATGCAGTTACTTAAATGAGTTTTAGGTAAAAGTGACCTTATAAAATAAACCTTTAGATAGTGGCTGTTCATTAATATATGAATATCTAACTGAAGTAATTAGATATATACAGCATTTGATATATACAACGATCCTTATCTGGGATATCCTATTCCTATAGTCCAAACGATTCTTTTTTGGGATATTCTGACAAAAATTAGTGTTCTGCTTATTAAAAATTAGTGTACATGCCACTCAAGCCTGCAGATTGTCAAACCAGATTACAGTGGTGCTTCGCTCAATCAGGTTAGAATGATGCTGACTGGGGATGTCTTTACTGACGAATCCCCTTTCCAACTGTGTCATAACGATCATCGAAGAAGTGTCTGGAGATGCCCAGAGCAGCATGTCAATCTTGCTTTCACTATTGCAAGCCACATAGGCAGGCCCTCAACCAGTAGTTATGATCTGGGGTGCCATTTCCCTTGATAGCCGAACCCCTTTGGTCATCATTAGAAACACACTTACAGCACAGCGGTACATTGATGACATCCTGAGACCTGTTTAGCTACCATTCCGTTTTCAGTACCCTAGCCTTATTTTTCAGCAAGATAATACCAGACCACATACAGCATGTGTTGCTATGAACTGTCTTACAGCCTGTAAAATACTTCTTTGGCCAGCCAGATCTCTCTCCCATCGATCATGTCTAGGAAATAATGGGAAGGCAACTGCTACCAGGGAATGTTGATGACCTAGCCCGACAATTGCAGCAAATTTGGAAAGAAATACAACCAAAGACCACCCAAGAGCTTTATCAATCTACGCCACGCCGTGCGTCAGCTTGTATCCAGGCTAGAGGTGGGTCAACACCTTATTGCGCTCGTTATTTTGTAGCTATGTAACTCTGAAATAAATCATTCAATTGTTCTGAAATTTTAATCATTTTCTATTCTGTATATAACCTTCCTATCCACCAATTTTTGTCTCCATTGGACAACTCCTTCTTGGTGTGTCAATTTTTTTTTGTTATAGAGTGTATTTGTCAAATATACATACAAAAACATATTTGCCAATGAATAACC